ATAGCATGAACTCCAGGGGAAAATTGTCCTCAGGCACAAAAACTTTTGAAAGACAGCTATTAATAATTTTGAAGGAAGTCTGTTTTGGAACTGCTGTCAGATGGTTGTAAAAAAGCAGAACACACACACAGACTAATAAAATTTAAATTTTACCATCATTTCAAATAAATATATCTTGAATTATAAAATTTGTGAGATGTAATTTTTCAATTTGTGACCTTAAGACCTAAAATAGGAAAATTATTACGTAATACTAAATAAAGTATCTTTATGACTTCAAATAAAAATCTAGGACTTTTGACAGAAACTTTAAGTACCAATTTAAATATACTGTGTGATTCTTCTTTTATGAGATGCAGGCTACAACAGCACAATAATTTATTGACCAAGACAGAAGCTAATTAAATAGAACAAACTAGATACATAGTTGACCCTAGTTACTAAACTTTATTATAAGATGACAAAAAGAAGTCATAACTGTTGGGAACATCATATAAGACATTTCTTATTTTGATAAAAAAAATCAAAACTTTTCATTCACTGGAATTACCAAGAGGAATTTCTTTCTCCAAATCTGAGCAATGAAATCTTACCTCTTTCACACACAATGTCAGTAAGCCAATGTTATTTGTTTTAGCACTTGCTTACCAAAACAAATTAAAGAATCTATAAAACAGGAGTTGAATATAGCTAGTTATAGAATTTCTAGAGGTGGATCCCATCAAATGGCTTTTCAGTTAACAAAGGACATTTATAGACACACCTGGGTCAGAGAATTTTTTTTTTCCATCTTTCATCGCTGGGAAGTACATCATTGTTATCGAACTTTGAAAAATAAAGAGATTCATAAAAAAGGTGAACAGATCCCCATCTTTTCTGTCCATATCCTCCTAAGACAACTAAAATCTCAAAGACTAAGTCTTGACTATAACATTCAAAATTTTATTTGGTTTGTGAAGAGGAAATATGTCAAAAAAAATTGAATAACTTGTCTAAGGACAGACTGAGAGAAACGGCAAATCTTTAATTCCAATCTCTTAATTAAGATGAAATCTAATCAAAGAAATCTTTAGGGAAAATTCATTTCACCATCCTGTTAATGAAAACACACAGAACAGAACCAAGTCCTCCACCTATAAGCCTACAGCCCAAATGGAAAACTAGCAAACCATCACTTTATCTATTGGACACATACTCAAGAAAGGAATAATGATATTTTATTTAGTAGAAACAAGAAAGGCTTTGGAATCAAAGAAACCTAAACCTGAATCGGATCTGTTACTTATTTGTGTGGCCCTGGGAAATGTCTGAGTCCCAGTTCTTTTACCCCAGGAAAAAAGAGGTAAAAATTATTATCTCTGTCTTAAGAATTAAATGATATACCTTAAGTGAAATATCTGCCATATTACAGGATCTCGATAAAAGTTATCTGCTTCACAGGATTTATGCAGGGTCCAAATAAGTGAATTTTGCAAGGTTTCGAATAGTATGGAACAGTGAGAAAAACATAGAATTTGGAGACAAAAAGTCTGGGTCTATATCTCAATTGTGTTTCTTACTGCCTGTAGCTGGCCAAGTCACTTACCTTCTCAGCATCTCATCTGTGAAATGAAGGCAATAATATTTGCCACACTTAGCTTTCAGGAATGCTTTAAGGATCAACTATGATAACCTTTGATAAACACTTTCTAAATATAAAGTACTACATATATTATTGATACAATGAAGAAACTGCATTAAAAACCAGCTTCCTCCTATGAAGATTAGGGAGTTCTGCTTTTATAAAGTTACTATCACTCTGCCGGCATCACTAAGGAGTTCTTAAGTTTTATCAACATTTATAAAATGTATTTAAGTTCTGCTAAACAAATTTCCTCAAGATCAGTGTTTCATACCATTTTCCAAACCAAATTTCAAGCAAACTAATTTAGATAGCGTGTTGCTGCTTCTCAAAGATTTGGGGGTTAAATTAGGGCACAAGACCCTGTAAACCAACATATAATTATTTAATAGAAAGGTTATCCGGCTTGAGACACTAATGAGGGGAAATCTAAATCTGCTTTTTATTAAACATCATAAGTTAAACTACTAATATCTGCCAGAAGTGAAAATATATACATTAATAAACATTAATACTGAAAAGATCAGCTCATGACCCAGCTGGAAGTTGCTGCAGACCACAAGTTGAGAGCCAATGCCTCTGAGGCATGGGAGTGGGAAACTTAATGGCTATGGAGTAACAAGGTCCTCAGAGTTATGTGGCCACTCAGCAGCATGGATAAAAACTGTCTTTTTTGCTCCTTCCAATAAATCATCCCGCTGCAATGAATTTTTATAAACAAAAATATAAGATATATAATAGGCACCTGGTTTCTTCCCAAATGTTTACACAAATTAATCCCCATGGCACTATTATGAGCTGCTAGCTATCCTTATTGCACAGATGTGTAAAAAAGATGCAGAAGTTAAGTAATTCCTTTATGGTCATTCAGAAAAATCAGTAGCAAAGATTAAATAACATGTATTACTGACTTCGTATCTTAACTGAACTCTCGGGCTAAGAACCAAGTGCCAAAGAAAAGTCTTAATATGTAAGAAGTCACTAATAATATTCATATTAGTAAATCATTTCAATATTGGTTAGCAAACACACTACATCAAAGCTGCAAAAGTGAAAAATGCATTTTTCTCCTTCATGTTACCAACACTAGGAGCTCAAGTGCTTTTAAAATATTTTAACTTGGTGCAAGATTCATTAAATACTAGATTTATTTATAAATATAATTGATTTGCAATATAAGTAAATAAATAACCAGAGCTAGAGCTGAAGCTGCAAGGCCATTACCCTGATATTAGTAACTGCTAATCTGTCCGTAAGACTTTTGGGAAATTTTTCTTTGCACATACAATAAAAATCAATACCACTGAAAAAAATCAATTGTATTTCTAAATATCGACAAGTAGAAAATAAAATTAGAAGATGTTTACAACAGTATCATAAAACATCAAAAAAAATTCAATAAATCATGAGCAACATACATACACTAAAGTTAATTTCAATAATGTCTTACAAAGAAGAGCTAATAAAGGCATATACCATTCTCTGATTTTAGAAGACTCATTATAGATGTTATCCCCTAATTATGTTGATAAATGTATTAAATGTAGTCCCACTGAAAATCCTAGGAAGATTTTCTTTTCTGCGTAGAAATTCTTATGAAAATGCAAAAGGACAAGAACAGTGAAGGTGATCTTGAAGAAAAACAAGGCATGAACTTTGATAGCAAGACCAATTGTAACATGAGAGAAATTAAAACACTGAGGTAATGGCAAAAGAATAGAAAAATAGGTCAATGGCCCAGAACGGAGGATCCTGTAATACACATGCAAGTACATGGTCACCTGATTTATGACAAAAGTGAAACTGCAGTGCAGTGGGGAAGGGAAGGTCTTTACTAAATAGTGCTGGGTCAAATGACTATCCAAATGAAAAAAAACGATGAATCTTGACTCTTATTTTACATCACACACACAAAATCAATCCTTGATAAATTATAAATACAAATGTAAAAAGTGTAATAGTAAAGCATTTAAGAGAAAACACAGAAGATCTTTATGACATTAAAATAGGCAACTGTTTCCTAAACTAGTCACAAAAAGCCTTAAATATTAAAGAAAGAAAGACTGATACAATAAAACTTCAGTTCATGTAAAGGTAGCATTAAAGAATGAACTAGCAAGTCACAGAATGGGAGAATATTGCACATTTCAAACAAAGAACCCATATCCATTACATACGAAAAACTCTTATCAAAAAATTATCAAGCCAATAAAAATATGGGGAAAAGGCTTCAACAGGTACTTCACATAGGAGTAGATCCCAATCAGCAAGAAACATATGAAATAGTGTTCAACTTCATGAGCCTTCAGGGGAATCATAATTAAAACTACAAGGAGATACTACAATATGCTTAACAGAAAGGCTGAAATACAAAAGACAGAAAGTACCAAACACTAACCCAGTACACTGCTGGATGGAAAGGAGGTAAATTGGCAAAAACACTTTGGAAGGCTTTGGACACAACATGTGAAAGCTGAAGGTATGCATATCCCATGACTGTCATTCTGCTCCTAGGTTTATAACCAACAGAAATACAAAAAAAAAAACCCCCCCCCAAAAAAAAACAACTTTCAGTAAGAAACATGTGCCATAACATTGATGGAAGCAACATCTGTAATAGTCCTAAACTAGAAATTACTGAAATGCCAAAAGAATAAACTCATATTCATACAGTGGAATACTACTGGCAGTAGGAATAAACTACAACTATATTACATGCAGGTAGGGATGAATTCTACAAATAAATGTTGAACTAAAGCCAGCACATAAAATGCATATATTATATAACTCTATTTGTATAAAGTTCAAAATTAGCAAAACCAATCTTTGGCCCTGACTGGTGTGGTTCAGTGGACTGAGCATCTTCCTGCAAACCACTGGCGGGGGTAGAGGGGCAGGGCAATGTTGCTGGTTCAATTCCCTGCCAGGGCACATGCCTGGGTTGCAGGCCAAGTCCTCAGATGGTGGCATGCAGGAAGCAGCCAATCAATGTTTCTCTCCCTCCCTTCCCCTCTCTCTAAAAATAAATAAATAAAGTCTTTAAAAAAAAACAAAAACAATCTTTGGTATAATAAGTCACAGTAGCAATCAGCCTGGCTGGAATGGAGGGGAGTAAGAGGAAGCTTCCGAGATTCTGGGGTCCTCGTAATGCTCTGTTTCTTGATGAAGATTCTGCTTACATAGGTGTATTCATTTTGAAATTTAAAATGCAGTATGTGTGCGTATATTTGTACATTTTTCTGTATGGATTAATTTCAAAATACTACAAAAACTTTAAGTTATATCAGCATATTTATACAAAGATGACTCCTTGAGCCTAGAAGAAGGAAGGAAAATGTAAATGTGGCGGTTAGACTATTTGTAAGGTATTCTTACTTACCTTTGTCCTGTAGTGCAACTTGCTGCTTATGCAGGAATGCCACCTCCCGGCCCAAAGCTTTCTTTTGTCTTTCCAGTTCATTTCGAAGCACCAAAATTTTTAATTGCAGGCACTCACTTTCTTTTTTCTAAATAATTAAAAGCACAGGTAAATTTATGAATATAAAAATCATGACTATAATTATGCATTCATGTTTCATAATGAATAATGGTTTAAAGCACTTTAATACTCATCTAACTTACCTATCTCTTGAGTAACTTAATTATCAGCACCCATAATTTCAATGGTAAGAGTACAGATGTAAGCAAAGAGTAAAAGAAAAAATAAATCTAAAGCCTGGGGACAGTTCTAAGAACCCAAAAGAGAATACAAAATGTCTCAGGCCCCTTTCCTAACATTATAATACAATAAGACAAAAAACAACAACAAAAAAGAAATAGAGTTCTCAAAATGTTAAGAAGAGTTACCATAGAAACCAACAATCCTCCCACTTCTAGGTATGGACACCCAAGAAAATCAAAAACATGTCTGCACAAAAACCTGAATATGAATATTCATGAAGCATTACTCATGCCAAACAGTGGAATCAATTCAATTGTCCATCATCTGATAGAGAAATAAAATGTGCCATATCTATGCAATGGAATATTATTTGTCAATAAAAAGAAATGAAGTACTAATATATGCCACAACACAGGAAAACATTATGCTAATTGAAAAAGTCAGTTTAAAAAGGCCACAGACTCGATTTATATGAAATAATGTCCAGAATAGGCAAATCCACAGTAACAAAGGGTAGATTTCCATCCTTGTCAAATTGAACTAAGATGCTCTAACATCTCGCACGTTTCAGAGAAGGCCAAGTAGAGACCTACGGCTTTCATCCCTGGCAGGCAGTAAGCAACCAAGCCCCCACAGTGTCAGTGGACACCACAGGCAAAGCCTTGACTTGCAGCAATCACAAGATAACCCTCTCCCTCCCTGCTGGGTGATATCAGAGGAGGCCTAGGAGTCCGTCAAAAATTTCACTACTGTGGAAAACTAATAGGCCCTACCCCTGACGATATCAGCGGAGGCCATGGGAGGAACAGTATCAAGGCACTCCTACTCCTCCCACAGGTGAGCATCAGCGGAGGTCTAGCGGACAGCTGGAATAGGAAAAAGAATCTTTAAGCTGCAAGGTAGGATAGAAACTTTCTAATGTAAACAACAGGGAGAAAATAGACTGTAAAAAATGAACAGAGCTTCAGGGACCTGTGGAACTACACCAAAAGATCTAACAGTTGTATCATCAAGTACTGGGAGGAAAGAGAGATAGGGAAGGAATTAAAAAAAGACTCATTAAAATAATGGTTAAAACTTCCCAAATTAGGCAAAAGAAATAAATCTACAGATTCAAGAAGTTAGTGAACCACAAACAGAGTAAATTCAATGGAGAAAGTAACTAAAATAAATAAAATAAATAAAGGCTGGGTTATTTTTTTTTAAAAGGTCAATAAAACTGATAAAACTCTAGCCAGGCTAACTAAGTAAAAAAAGAGAAGACACAAATTTTACTAATGTAAGGAATGAAAAGGGGCCATGGACATTAAAAGAATAAAGAGCACTATAAATTACTCTATGCCCACAAATCTGATAACTTAGATTAAATGGACCAACTGCTTTAAAGGCATCTACCAACTTACTCTAGGAGAAACAATCTGAATGTATGTGTGTGTATAAAACAATAATTAATAATCTTCCCCAATAGAAAGCACCAGGCCCAGAAGGTTTCACTGATGAATTTTAGCAAACATTTAAATAAAAAATGCTAGTTATTTAAGATCTCTTCCAAAATACAGTAGAACTTCCTGTCTCATTTGTCACCCTACCACCAAAAGGACCAGAAAGGAAAATTATAGACTCATATCTCACATGAACATAGAAGAAAATCCTTCAACAAAATATTAGCAAATAAAATCCAACAATGTATAAGAATTATATACCATGGCCAAATGGAATTTATTACAGGTGTGCAAGGCAGGTTTGACATTGAATAATGAAATTCGCTACATGAACCAGGCTATAGAAGAAAAATCATACATAATATCAAAAAATGCTGAAACAGTATTTGACAGTTTTCAACATCCATTTATGATTAAAAAATAAAAACTCTTAGCAAATTAGGCATAAAGGAGAACTTACTCAACTTGGTAAAGAACGTCTGCCAAAATACCTACAGCTAACACCACACTTAATGATGAGAAATCAGATGCTTTCTTCCTAAGCTGGAGAACAAGATAAGAATGTCCCCTTTTATCACTATTATGTACTGGAAATACTAGCTATACAGTAAGGCAAGAAAAATAAGTAAAAGCTATACAGATTGGGAAAGAAGAAATAAAATCAACTTTGTTTACAGGTGATATGTTTGTTTATGCAGAAAATCCCACAAAATCGACCCCACCTGCAAAAGCAGAAGGAGGAAGAAGTGGGGGGCGGGGGGCAGAGAGGAGGAGAAGGCAAGGGAGGAGTTTAATTCTGAAGATGATATTCTCTTTATAAATGACTTTATCTTAATGTTACTTAATGTTAATTTACAGGAAGATAAAGAAGATGGGACCATTACAAAAACAGAGATCTCGGATTTCCCTAGAGATAGACCAAAAACTAAAGCAGAGGAAAATGTAAATGCATATTGAAAGGATAAAGCCAGCCCCATTTGCTATTGTGGTACCATTCACCAAGCAGGCCTATGACCGTGTTAAACATGACTGCCATTTTACTCTTCAGAGCTTAGGTCTCCAGGACTGGAAAATTACTGGAAAGTAAGAAAAGAACCAACTGCTCCCAACAGCCACAGGCATAAGATAATATTGGAAAAAACTGCAGCTTCACTCAGAAGACACACAACAGCAACCCCCTCACCCTTTCTTAATCCAATTATAATCCAACAGAAAACTCCAAGTGTCCTCTGGTCCCACTCCCCATGCTGACGTGGCTCTCCACACCATGCCCCTCTGCTTTCCTGGAGAGTTAATAAAAATTTTATTCTCTACACTTTCTTCTGTTTGTGAATTCTTTCATAGCCCACGTCACCAACCACCCTAACATATACAAAAAGTGTCCTTCTGGAATTCCCTTACAGATGTGGAATAATTTTCAAGAATTGCATAAAAACACTCTGAACAGAAAACCGCAACTTCAAAATTCAGAAAAGAAAAAAGAAAATGCTCCAGAAAAGGTAAATTGAAGAATGAAGAAGAATCTCATAGTGAACAGTCCTCAGGTAAAACCCAGTGGAAGGAACTTAGCATTTTGGAGTCAATGACAGTATGAAACCCCTGTTAAAAAGGAAAAAAAAAAAAGAAAACAACAACAACAAAAAAACAAAAACAGAAGAGAAGGCTGAAGAAGCAGCAACCAGCTAGCTACCCAAGAGCTTGGTATAAAAACTGCCAAAGCGATTGCCTGCCATAACTTTGTAAAAGCCAAAAAAGGAAGCTGAAACATCACAGATTGCTCAAGAAAAGAAAAAACCTACATAGGGATGTAAAGCAAAGAAGAAATGGGAAACCAAAAGCAAGGTGGGATACGTGTAACTTGCCTGAGTTCTTCAAGACACTATATCTTTTCTTGAGTTTTCAACAACTAAATTGACTGAAAAAAATATTCCTGCTTATGTTAAAATGTCAGGACATTGATAGAAGTAGAAAAAATAAGCATAAAATTTGGGAGTTGATTAACAAATTCTTTAATCTTTTTCTAAAGAGTTCATCCTATTGAAGTGAATGGAATGGAATGTTCTGTTATTTGTACAAGGAATCTAAGCAAATATACAGGAAAAAAAAATAGGGTTTTATTTATTTATTTACAGAGACTTGCAGTATAAAATCAATTTTACCTTTTATCTATTTGGTATAGCACAGCCAATGAGCTCCTTGTACTTTTTTATCCGCACTAAGTCTGCACTTATTCTGGAATTGTGTTTTAAAGATCAGCGCTAGTTTACAATGCATTTAGTCATAAGTGTAAGAAAGTCTTAATTGATATTCTCTTTCTAAATGACTTCATCTTAATGTTATAAAACTAATTATTGGCTCTTTATTAGATGCAGCAGAGTTGATACTTCACAACTATAAATAAAAGCAAATGGTTAACTTTAGTATACCTTCAGTTAACATACTATAATTAAAAAAAGGACAGATTTTTTTTTAAAAAAACTGCAAAAATCACTATAAAAAAAATGAAAAGACAAGCCATAAGCTGGGAAAAAATACTTGAAAACCACTTATCCAATAAAGAAATGGTATCCCAAAATATACAAAGAGCTCTAAAACCTCAACAATAAAACAAACAATCCAATTAAAAAATGGGCAAAAGTTCTGAACTATCACCTCACCAAAAAAAAATATATATATATATACAAGTGGCTAATAAGCATATGCAAAGATACTCAACATCACATGTCATCAGGGAACTACAAATTAAAACAACAATTAGATACTACTACATACTTATTAAAATACTAAAAATCCCAAACACTGACAATACTAAGTGCTGGCAAGGGTGTGGAGCAACAGAAACTTTCATTCATTGTTAGTGATGATTCAAAATGTGTACAGTCACTTTAGAAGACTGTGTGACAGTTTGTTATGAAACTAAACATAGGCTTACTATATGATCCAACAACTGCCCTCTAAGTATTTACCCAGATGGGTTAAAAATTTATGGCCACGAAAAACACCTACACATGAATGTCTGCAACAGCTTTATTCATAATTGCCAAAATTTGGAAGCAACGAAGATGTACTTCAATAGGTCAACATATAAACAAACTGCACTGTACCCGAACAATGTAGTATTTGTCAGTGATAAAAAGAATGAGCCATGGAAGATATGAAGGAAACTTAATTGCATATTGCTAAATAAAAGAGGCCAATCTGAAAAAGCTATATACTGTATGTATAATTTCAACAATATGACATTCTGGAAAAGGCAGAATTATAGAGACAGTAAAAAGATCAATGGTTGTCGGGGACTCTAAAAGAGGGGGTAAAAGATGAATAGGTGGAACAGGTATTTTTAGGCCAGTGAAAATATTTTGGATAATACTGTAATGGTAGATACATGGCATTGTGCATTTGT